GGGGGGGATTTGCTGGGACATCCACTTCTTGGAAGTTTGTGAGATTGACTGAATGATTCAGACAAACAAAATTCCAAAATGTTTGATTAGGATCAGTTAATCAAGTGTATTTGATTAAAAGTGTAGGGATGATATTTATCCTATGGAAGTTGTAAATGTGTGCATGGTTTTTCAGAGGACTCTTTGCAATCTTTTGTTTTCCCGCCAATGTACGTAGCACTGAAACATGTCTGTGTTTAACCACTATTTCATGTAAATGGTCGCAGTGAAAGAGGACTGTAATCTAGGACAATAATTACTTTTACTAATCAGCTGATCATTTCTGAAAAATTGCCTAATCTCCTTTTTACAGGCCTGCTGTGAAATCTTCTAACTCCTCGCTTTATGTAGCCATCACTCCAAAATACAAAACTAAATACTTCAGTGTTACATGTGACAAAGATAAAGGTGAAACCAGAAAAGAATAAATAAATAATAATAATAATAATAATAATTAAATTAAATGATGAATTAATGATCAAAATGACTGAATTCCAATCACTCTATTAACTGGCTGATTAAACATTTTTACCCATGTCCTCACGACTCTAAACTCCACAGATCTATGAACCCTGATGATTGATTAATGTGCCCATTTAAACAAGAACAAAACAGACCTGGGTGACCAGTGAGGTCTATGTTTGCCCAGTCTAAGTTGCTGGCAATGCGGAAACTCTCCTTCAGAGAATCTGGGTTACTGAACCAGTCAGCTGGCACCGCTACAAGTGGAAGGCAAGAAGGCAACTTTAGAAGCATTGAACTTTTATACAGTTTATGCATTTCTGGTTTGAGAAAGTCGCATGAGACTTACTTAATTGTGAAATGCGCTCAGTGTCGGCAGGATGTGCAGCTGGTGCAGCCAATGCAGGTGGTGCAATTTGTGCGGTTGCAGGATGGGGGGACATGGGTAGCAGAGTTGGAGTGTGAAGTGGGGTAATGTCATTATTTGGGATCACCAGGGGAACTATATCCGCTGGAAAGAAAAGAGGCAATTCCTTCAATCCATCTATGCAGAATCTAAACTGTACAGAGTCAAAACACAGATACACACATGCCACTTACACTGCGAGCCTCCCCTCTCGCGCACTGTCCTGAACAGAGACTTGAAAGACGCATACAGATCAGGTAAGTTGAGCTCGTCAAAGGTGAAACGCAGCAAGGGATCAGTAGGGGGGTTTACTGAAACGAGGGGAGGGGCGACGGCTGATGATGGGACAGTCAGTTCGGATGAGTGATTGGGTCCCGAAACGATGCAAATGGGAACAGCTGTCGGATCAGGCGCGCAGGAGAAAGCGGGAACAGACACGGGGTCTGAAGTCACAGGAAAAGACAGCGCAGCGTCAGAGAAGGAGGGAGCAGCTGGAGACGCTGTAGACATGTTGGCAGGAGCCAGAGGTGTAGCAGAAGCAGGGGGGATGGAGAAAGTGGGGCCAGGTGGGTGAGAAGGTGGGAAAGAAGTGATGGATGACATAGGGGCTGCAGGTGGGAGCACCGCTGATGGCGAGACGGATGGATGAGGGACAGGGAGACTGGAGACAGAGGTGGGCATGTAGGGAGATGGTTGCTGTAAAGATAAGAATAAGGTGTTATGAAGAGCAAGGTGTTGTTTAATTAAAGTAAACCTTATAAAAGGAGTGAGAAAGTGACTGTACTTTGCATGGGGGAGGAGAGAGGGAGGCAGACTGTGGTGACTGCTGCTGGATGCCTCCAAGTGACTCTGAGTTAAAGAGCTGTTGGTCTGTGTGTGAAGCTGATTGAGGCTGACGAGGAGAGAGCCCCGTCTCTGCTTTTAGTTCCTGCAGTTGAGGAACCTGTAACAGCACAGCATAAATACTTTCAACAGCAACAACAAAAAAAGTTGTCAATATCCTGCAGGCTAATATATACATTAAATGTTAAATAAGACTGAGCACCTCCACTACAGACAGAAATTACCTCATTTCAAAAAAAAAAAAAAAACAACTCCCTTTTAGCTCTCAGCTTTTATCAAAAAAGAAAGTTTGCTCAGTCTAATCTTAAAACTAGAGATGCTGTTTGTCTCCTAAATCCAAACTGGGAGTTGGCTCCACTGGGGAGGGGCCCGGAAGCTGAACTTTTAAAGACCCGGGGAAGCACATTGGTACACTTCTTTTCATAGGACGTAGCCATACCAAAACTGATATCTTAGTCCATCTTAATGTTCTCACACATTGCAAATAATGGCATAATTAGAAAAATGTGGCGGTTTTAATAATCTGCCACATGCTTGAGGTTTGGTTAAGAGTTTTAAGCGTTAATGGGCTATAATTTACATCTGTGTTTGCACTTTATGTGGTCTCATTAAACCTCTATGTATTTGACAGGTGGAGAATAAAGGTTTGTCACAAAAAAACACCCCGAAAACCAAAAACATACATCCTCTCTCTCCTCGTCCTCTTCAGGATAGGAACGTTTAGGTGCCCTCACTTGATGTCCGTCTGAAGGTCCATCCATTGTCCAATAGGAACCCTGGAAAGACACCACAGGTTTGTGAACTCATGCTCTTTTTTTAAACAGTCATCAATCTCAAATGATGAAAACTCCAACAGTAGGTAGAAGTAACTCACCTTGCCAGGGTCGTTCTGCGGTCGAGGAACTTTCCTGAAGCATTTATTAAGGGACAGATTGTGTCGAATGGAATTCTGTTGGGAATGACATGTGTCAGGAATGTCCAGTAAAGCAGATGTTACACTGACTACACTTTAGTGACATATTATTACTGCTCGCCCACACTGATAATATGTTGTAGCTTACTTTCCATCCGCGGCCCGCCCGGCTGTAGTAGGGGAAAGTGTCACTGATCCAGGTGTAAATGTCATTTAAACTCAGTTTCCTCTCAGGTGCAGCGGCTATTGCCATGGCGATTAGAGTAGCATAGCTGTGAGGGGGTTTCCCTTTACAGTTAGAAGGGGAGGGGTCCGGCACTGAGGGTAGAAAGTCTCCTTTCTCCCTCCCTCTGTCTTTTTTCTTCTCCTTCTCCGCTCCTCCTCCTCTCTCTTTCCCAGAGCGCAGGCTGCTGATTCCCAGCTGGGGCAACCAGTCAATACTGGTAAGACTGGAGTCCAAGTCAGAGGACATTTTTCAGTTTTAGTTTGTTTTGTTTTTTTCTCAGTCCAGGCTCTGAAGGATCAGAAGAGAAAGTACTGGATCAACAAGTCTTTTTACATTTTGCTTACTCTGAATATAGTAGGCAGTCAAAACACTGAGCACTCCCACAGAGGATTTCCCTCTGCCTGTAACTGTGTCAGCAGTCCTGTTCCTGTACTTCCCAACTAGCGTCTATTACACACCAGTAAGTTCAGACAGAAGACACTTTGTGCTGCTCGGGAAACTTTCCACTCACCAGCAAAGCCATAGCATGACTATAGGTGCATATGTGTGCCAATTCCAACTACTTGTGTTGTTTTCTGAGAAGGAAGAATGACTTACTTACCTCTGTATGGTCACTCGAGGCCCAAGGCCTTCAGAAGTGTTAATGGCTTATGTTGTCATCAGCTGTGCACAGCTGCTAACAAACTGCTGTACGTCCTCTCCTTCAGGTCTCTGTCCTCAGCATGTCGGTCCCCACAGGGCTGCAGTCATACCTTCGGCTAGTGAAAGTTTGTGTAACTTTGGAGAAATATACACACAAAAAACTTATCCGACAGCTTCCTTTTTCGCTCTCCCTCCCTCTCTTTGCTTCCCCTCCCTTTCTGGTTTACCAGAATGACGTCACTCACTCCTCCTCCTGCGTGATATCACTCTATGCACCGCCTCTGGGAGCTGGTTCCACCTCTTTACTCTTTCACCAGCCTCTTCTCTGCCTGTCAGGTTCTGGTTACAGATAATGCACCTGAATTTTCCATTAAGACAAGTCCAAGCTGTTATGCAAGGTACAAGGGTCTGATTCATATACACAAACACACACAGAGCAGATTTAAAGTAGCAACATCGCTTTATTGGTACAGCTCTTTACAGTGGGACACAATGGTAGGACATGGGTCTCTTTACAGAGCGCTGAAGAAAGCAAGGAGGCCGGTGTCAGGAGACGGATGCGCCAGAAGCTTCTGAATCTGTCAACACAGTTTACGACGTGGGTTAGTCATGTAATCGCATAAATTTTGGCATGTTCACACGCGCAAAAACAGGTGTCTGATTGCTGCACCCTTTACAACAAAAGGTCAGTAGGGATAAGTCGCAAATTATTACCACTCACAACAGCTTATTGTGTGTGTGTTTGTGTGTGTGAGAGAGTGGGGGAGAGCGTGCATGGGCCATTTTTGTTTCACCTGGTTTTTGTTTGTGTTTTTGTCTGTTTTGTGTGACTTTAATGTTTAGCTCTGTTTGAATTTTCCCTCTTTTTTTTATTTTTTTTTATTCAGCCCCTGAATGCCAAAACATTATCTTATGCATGTCTGAGCATAGACATCATCAAACATTTAAACTGACATGCTGCATCACTGCAAGAAAAGAATAAAGTAATTTTGAATTTGATGATAGCAAACTGTCTCCAAAAAGCTGGGATGAGGGAAAACAAAGGGTTGGAATTAAAACAGCTGGAGGAACATTTTGCAACTAATTAGGTTTACTGGCAACATATTGAAGTGTATTTCTTTTTTCTCACCAAAGAAAAGGATAAAAAAAAAAACATTAAAGGAATTTGTGTTACTATTGTAGTTATTGTGTAATTACTTTAATAATGATGATATAAACACAGAAATGTGTATTTTGCTCATTTGTTTTTTGTTTGGTTTTCTTTAGGGGGTTAAGCCTGTTCAGTGTCTGTTTTGTACATTGACCACCAACTGTTTATGGAATCTAATATGTGTTGACTGAATAAACTAAGCTAAACAATACTGAGTCAGGAGGGCGACAGGAAGCATCTGTAGCAGGTACCTCCTTGAAGTTGGGGTGTTTGGCATCTTGAACCAGCTGCAGCAGAACAGCCTCTGTGGTGGTGAGGTATGCTCCGCTCTGTTTCAGTCGTGACAGAGCAAACAAACGATCCGTTTGGCTGAGGAGGGAAGTGAAAACGTTATAGTAAAGTGCACATGTAACTTCCCCAAGGCACACTCATTCCGTGTGTGTGACATCTCTTACTGCAATGAAAAAATACTGTTCAAATACACCGATACCTTCTGGATGACACGGCGTCAGCTACAATATGAACCTCTATCCCCTTCTCGAGCAGATCAAAAGCTGTGCACTGAGCAAAAGACAAGGAGGAAAGTTTTCTATTTGTCAACTAAAACTGCAAACTCAGTCAAACACAGTTACAAAATTACATATTTATGTTACTTAATGACAGTGTAATAAATTAATAATCACCTAACATTACCTCCACCACTCTGTTTTTGTGATTAAAACTTAACACTTAGCCCTTACATGTCGAGGAGCGTGTCAGGCTACATTTCACTGTGTGTTATACTTGTATAACTATGCATGTGACAAATAAAGAACCTTGAACCTTGAACCTTAGCCCACATTATGAAGATACAATATACAGTTAATGCATGCATCCAAGTGCACCTTAAATTATTTATGTCATATCTGCGGGTCACAGATAAACTGCTTGTTGCTTCTTTTGTGGAACAACTGATAAGACACATACTGATGTGACATGCATTGTTTGTGCATGTTAGAGAATCCAGTTGAAGACTAACGTCTCCATATAATTGTCTCCTGATAACTACAACTATGCTTTGCATATAAAATATACATTTGAAAAATATGAAGTCAATGGAAAGATTTTGTCTCGTTTTAACGGCGCAGATGCTGAATCCCATTTGTGTCTTACAGCGATACAGGCGTGAGCCTCTATTCCACACAGTATGACTTGTTTGGGGTTCCCCAGGGCCTCCAGCTCCTTCTGCACCTCCTCTATCATCATGGTGAATGAAGTTTTAGCATGGGCCTTTAGGTCCTCAGCTCCCAGCTCTGGTACTGTGGGCCCAAGACCTTTAGGATATTGCTCTGTCAAAATGGGGGGGATGCCCAGGATACGACTGGCCTGTCAGAGAAGAGGAGAAACCTGGCAAATCTGATTCAGACTCTCCAAATTATTCATCCTCGACAACTGTGCTGATGAGGAGAACCAACCTGGAGCAGTCTGGCTGCATTGCTGACAATGTTGGTGAACTGGAAGATGTTGGGTCTGAACTTCTCCTGCATATCGCACAGGAAAAGCACTGCATCCTTGGTGGAGAGCCTGCCAATGTTTGCCACTACAAGAGCAAGGTCACAGAAGGCATTCAGGTAGATTTAATACCATCTTGTACTATCATCAGAGAGATTTGAAGTAAAATTTATAAAGGTGAAACTTTATAAGTTTTATAGCTTACAACTGTAGCACAGCTGCTTGTTGCAGTCTTTAACCATTATTTGGACAATCGTAGACTCTAGCTAACCTGTCAGCATGAGTCTAAAATGGTGCGTTTTCTTCCTTGTAGGACATTATTTCCTTCTTTGATATTGCACTGTTTTGATAACAAAGGCACCAGTGACAACTCAAAAACAGCTAGACTCAAAGGAATTTGCTAAGATCATGGCTCGTTTTAGCGAATTAAAGCATAAGAAATGTCACTTACTCTTGTTGCTTTAATAGTCCAGAGGTGAGGTAGAGAGTAGTGGGTAACAGGCGGAAGGGGGACTGCAGAAACTTTAACTGTCAGGTTAAAGTATTATTTCCCATGTGACGTCGCCTGTGTAAACCAAATAAAATATTTATGTCTTACTTGTAATAGAAAAAAGAACGACCGAATTTAATATTGCAGACAAAATTGCGTATATGTAATCATATTAACTAATAATAAATAAACAAGTATATTTGTTATTAAAGAGTTAATATATTAGCATCTATAGTCGGATGTAAAAAATAAAAACTAACCTAGCACGAAGCTAAGAAGACCACGGAGTTCAACTTCGGCTTCAGCCTTTCTTTGACAGGCGCTGCCTTCCTGGGAGCGATTATTGACCAATAGTATTGCGAGCTGTAGAGATTGACGCTTCTTTTGCGCCAATAGCCGCCGCTGCTGAGCAAACGTTGAAGTGGTTGGAAACCATAAAGTAACCCGGAGTGGTGAACCAAAGATGTCTGACACTGCAGAGTCCCCAACAGAGACGCAGAAAGAAGAAACACAGCCGCCGTCAGACGACTCGACGACAAATGACGAGAAGAAGAAAAGTAAGAGAGCGGAAATAACTTCTCAGTTACGGGAAAACAATTGTGTTTCTGATGACTGTTGCTAATGCTAAAGAAAACACATCCGGATGTGTGACGTACAATATGATTGACAGTGAAAGTCGGCCACTAGGGTGGAAGCATGTTCTATCTTCAGCCAATAAGTGCGTCGTTTTCTAGCAAGTGGTACTGCCGGTTTGGGGAACAGCTGAAGCTAATGCTAATAAACATTACATGTATTTTGTATTCTTATATGTTACATAGTTCACAGAAAGTCTCTGTTTTGCCATATTTGATCAAATATACTAACCAGTCGTCTCAATAGCAACATATTCTGCGTGCAAATGCAACAAGGATCTTAAGGAGCTACACTTGGCTCAAAACTCTTAAAATGTCACAAAATCCATGGAGCTGAAAATCTGGGATATGTTAAGAAGAGAACATAAACTAGAATATATAAAACTTGCATGGTGTGCCTACGACTGTGAGTTTAAACCTAATAAAATAGTTTATAGAGTCAAATCCTGGACTGCAAAAGGAATAACAACAGTTACTACTGATCTTCTGATCTACACAAAGGGGAAATTAAAAGGCTTTGGAAGATTGATATCACTTTATAATAAGACCTCTAAAAACATAACTTTTTCTGTTAGCTCCCGATGTGCGATTACTTTGAACATACCACTAAAAATAGAACATTCCATCTCAATTCACAATTTTTTTTTACATTTGCTGCTCAACTGTCTCCATTTGCCTAAAAATGTTAAGCTCCAAAGTTTTCATATATATACAAACCACTGCTGTTAAAATATTAGCTTCATAAATCAAATACTTTTAAAGATATATTTGTTTTAATAAATTGTCCATCAATCCACTCCCAGGATACTCACTTAGGCGATGTTTGAACATCGAAAAACTATAAAACATAAGCCAGATGTTTTCACTGGCCTCTCTTGCCATAAAAGTGAGTCAATATCTGTAGTTTGGGACTGATCTAAAAAGATCTGAATATTTCCTTGTTCTACAAAAAACAATTCAAGCAGTTCAAAGTTCCATACTAAGAACATACTAATGAAAGTAATAATAATAGGTAATAAGAGACAAACAGCAACTATTTTTGAATGATATATAGCTAATGCAAAATAAAATGACTATAATACTTTTTAACATGAACTTCTTAGTCACAAAAGGGAAGAAAACGCTACTTTCCTTCAACCTTCCTGCTGGATTTACCAGAAATATGAGTAGACAGTCTAATGAACAAAAATAGGAGTTTGCAGATGTTATATCAATTATAACTACGGAAATAACGTTAAATATATGCATATTTTTCATTTTTGAGACCTACTGCACTGGAAACATTCAAGAGTAAAGAAAATAAGAAAAGTAAAGATAATAACTCATTTAACCTGCGTAGTTTTGCAGGACTAATTTGCACAAATACCACAACAGAAATTAAAATTAAAATGAGGTAAAGAGACAGCTTAGTCTGTATGTAGCCAGACATTTAATTTCAATTTTGCAATACCCTGCCTAAAATTTAATGAAACAATGAGGTCATAGTAACTTATAACTAGATTTTAGTAATTGAATTAGATCTGGGTGTTGAATGTTGTTTATATTACTATTAGAGGTTATGTTTAAGCTTAGGCACTGTTTGGGGTTTTTTTTGGAGGGGGGGGTTCTGCCCTTCAGAAAAGCTGATGTGAAAGCACACGAAGACAAGAAGTTAAAGGCGGTTATTATGCACATTCCACATTAAACGCATCACAAAAAACAACAACACCTAGAGCAATATGAAATTAAAATTTCCACAGGGGAGTGTTTGATATTTCACCAAAACACTATTGGGGGAAAATAATAAAGTAACATTTTTGAACTCTGTGCAGCACTGGCTTAGTTGCATAGGTAGATGTTTACTTGGGATGAGGGTTTGCCTTTACAGTGTTTTTGTTTTTCCACCATGGTATAATGTAGTGTCTATGCATCAGTGACTGCACCTTCCCAGAAATTCCACTGTAAATTCAAGTTGAGATTTGCCTGTGCCAGTCGGCGTTGCAACAATGTTGAATAACTTTCAGTTTTGTTTTCTTCATTTTTATAGTCGATGTGCTGTTGAAGGCAGTGGGAGACACTCCTATAATGAAAACAAAGAAGTGGGCAGTGGACAGGGGGAGAACAGTACAGTCTCTTTCACAATTCATATCTCGCTTCCTCAAGCTTGATGCCAATGAACAACTAGTAAGCATAACATTTTTTTCTACCAGCTTGTTAATTTCTGAAGTCTTATAATGGACATGATTTAAAAACCAATTATGAAAACTAAATCTTTTTTTTCTTTTCTCAGTTCATCTATGTTAACCAGTCTTTTGCCCCCTCACCGGATCAAGAAGTAGGGGTCCTCTTTGATGTGAGTGTAGTTTTAAATGGGGCAGCACACACAGACATACAGTTTATCAACAACATTATGTTCCCTGTTGTTTTATTAATTTAATAGCGCACAGTCTGGAGTTACAGACCGAGTTGGTCTTCACTGAAATATTACATCAGTAGCACTAGTGTTAGGCAAGTATTTAACTGGGTCCAAACTTCTTTGGACACTTTTTTTTGCCTCTGTACATCAGCTCAATTAATTTTTAACTCAAACCATCAAAATGTGACTAAAGTGCAGACTTTCAGCTTTAACTCAAGAGTTTTTTTCTTTTTGTTGTTTTTTTTTAATACAGAATCCATTTTCAGAGGCGCAAAATTAATTGGACAAATGAACATCATTTTAAATATAAGTATTGTTTTTAGTAATTGAAAGAAAATCCTTTGTAGTCAGAGACTGCCTGAGCTCTAGAACCCAGAGACCTCACTAAATGCTGCGTTTCCTCTCTTAAGCGTTTTGACCTTTACTGCAGCCAGTTGCTGCTTCATTGTGGTTCTCTCCACAACCAATAACTGAAAATCTGCTCTATCAGGTTGACATGAGGCCACTGACATGGCTATTGAAGTATATCTAATTTCTTGGCCGTGAGAAACTCTTGAGTCGCTTTTGCAGTACGTTTTGGGTCATTATCCATTTGGACTGTGAAGTGCTGTCTGCACAGTTTTGAAGCATTTAGCTGACTCTGAGCAGAGAGGGCAACCCTGCACACTTCACAATTTGTCCTGCTTCTTCTACCAGCAGTGACATCATCAGTAAACACCAGTGCCCAGCTTCCACTGGCATTTCCTCCACCAGATAATGTCATATGCTTCGTGAGCTGTTCTTTCCTTCTCCATACTTTTCTCTTCCCATTGTTCTGATACAAATGAATGTAATCAGACCTTCTTGTTCTTGAGGGGTTTACATGTTATTGTAAAGCCTCTATATTTCTATTCATGAAACGGTCTCTTGCTTGTGGACCTGAACAATGCTACTGCTTTATCCACTTGAGTTGTTGTCTGTGTTTTTTCAGGCCATTTGGTGTTGCCTGACCAGATTCCTCCCTTTTTAAGAATGAGCCAGATTGTTAACTTAACCACTCCTAAAAATTTTTGCTGTCTCTCTGATGGCATTACTTTGTTTTTCCAGCCTAATGAAGGTTCCTTTACTTGCATGAAACTACTGTTTGGACATCTTATCGAGAGTTCCAGTTAAAGCTGCCAAATGCATGTTCAACACTTGGAAATAACTCCAGATCTTTTATCTACTTAATTTGTTGTTAAATAACAAGGGAACCTGCTTCACCTGGTGACTACTCTGGAAGTCTTTGTATAAAAATCATTGTGGTTCCTAGGCAGTTAATGAAAACTTCTGTTGAACCCCTTAAACTAATGCTGGACATCTGCACTTCAATCACATCTTGTTTTCTTGATTTAAAATCCACTGTGGTGGAGTATAGATGCAAAATTAACAGAGGGGAGAAAACGGTCAATGTCCAAAAACGTATGAAACTTCTAGACCTAACTGTTTCTGCAGGTTCAGCCTGTGTGACTGGACAGGTCATGCAGAGCTTCTACCAGCAGAGGGTGCAATAAGAGACAAGCCTTCTGTGACATAATCTTAAATCCTTGAGCACTGGTAAATGTCTTAACAAGTAACAGTAAAAACGTCAAAGTCTAGATCAGTGGTTGGCTGATCACCTCTCTGCTCTCACTGCTAGATCAATATCTAGTTAAAAGGTCCTTTCTGATGTCACAACAGCAGTTAACACTGATTTTAGACTTTGTTGACAGCTCACTCCTGTGTTTGACAGTTTAACTTCAACGTTTGTATTCCCGTCTTTTTGTCTTTCAGTGTTTTGGAAGTGATGGCAAGCTGATTCTACATTATTGTAAATCTCAAGCCTGGGGTTAGCTGCTTTCTACAACTACATTTTCCCTCCTATCCCCATCCTTAACTTCAAAACACGACAACATAGTGTTGTCTTTCCCCTTTGCTGTTTGCTGTCTTACAGGTTTTTTTGTAAATACACTGTAAATAAATTATTGTGTATATCATAAAAGTCTTGACACTGTTCTTGTTTTTTGTTCTGTTGCTAATCTGGGGAAATGTACATAAGGTACTATAATGTTAATAAAAATAATAAAATAGAGCTGTAATGCAGTGGAACTTAAACTGCTGATTAAAGTTTAGGGAGGGTTAGTGAAGGCCACCGCTGAAAAGGGACAGACACGGGAAGAGAGGGGGCACTATAGTAACAGATGGACTTAGAGGGATTACATGATTCAGGGTGGGTTTGTGTCATAAATTACCAAGAAAGACAGTAAAGGGAGTAGAGTGGCTTGGAGACAGACATGCAGTCACTCCATTGGTTCGCATCTCCATCGGAGGAGGATTACACGGGGCTTGCAGCCGGAGAGGTAAGGGCCACTGATGCTCACACTGGAGGAGGAAAGCTGATGCACAGAGAAAAGAGGAAGAGAGTAGCAACAGAGAGGGTATTCAAGATGGAGCAGCTGAACTAAAGTTATGAACGAGCTTTTTGATTAAGGGCTTATGAAGAAGGCAGAGACAAACCACAATGTAAGTTCACTGCAAGGCAGTGAAATGTGTTTTATGATGGACATGAAAGACTACAGAGGGCGAGAACAAAGTCTGGTAGGTATTTTACTTATTTAAAAATAATTTGTTCTGAAGTCATTTGTGGATTCTTCATCAGCAATCGCAAAAACATAATTTCTTTAATATTTACACATAGCAAAAAAACGTTATTACACTGAGTGTTCAATTAAATCTGTCATTTGTGAACGAAAACTGAACGAGTTATTTTGGATGGACGTCTGCAAAAATTGAGCAAGCTGGAAAATGATGTATCAGCTAGTTACTGACGTGTAAAGGCTGAAAATATTTATTGTCTTAGCAACAGTCGACATGGTAAGGTTCATGCTAAGAGTAACCATTTCAAACATAATCTTATAAATATCAATACTTGGTCACTGGCTGCTGTTAAACCATCAGTAATATGCAGAGGTAGACTTTCACACAGATTATCAAGGTGCTTTGTGGGGTAATTGTTTCACTGCTGAATGAATTAAACTGGCATCTCTGTGATGGTGTGACGCACTGAGCGGTAATCTAAACAAACAGTGCTTAAAAGATGTGCAGTTCTGAAAGGACATAATGTACATCTGAGAATAAACGCAATGCAAGTATTTAGGAAAGCCTTATCTCTGCTGAGCATTGGCTTTAACTGCCTCAGTAACACTCCAATGGTCATTAAGCGTATTATCATACTGATGGAGTTTTATTTCCAGCAGTACAGATGACAGAAACCATGCTAAGGGATGAGTGATGTGCTACATTCACCTGATTTAATCTGTGTTATGTTTCAGGGGCTGTGAGCTGACAGGGGGACATTGCATGAGAGAAAGATTGGCAGCAGACATGGTCAAAGTGTACTTCACACTAAAACACACCTAACAAAAACAGATTAAAGCAGATTTCCAGGGATTACGTGTAAAATTTCATTTAGATCTCTGGCTTATCTATAATTTCATCAAAAAAGTAATCTAGTGTTTTGCTCCCCTGCATCGTGCCTTCCACTTAAGGCCCACAGTTTATAATGAGCGGCAGGCTCGGGCTTGAGTGCGTTAATCAGGAAGCACAGAGATGTTAGCCGGGGTCACAGGAAAGTACACATTACTCAGCCTTTCACAACCCCCCTTTAAACAGCTGGAGGACTTATGTGACTTCAGGCAGTGATTGACAGTGTAAAGCTAGATTTCATTATATGGGCAATTTCCTTTTACCCTCTGTTTTCTTTTTTATGCTCACTTGCTCTCAATTTCATTTAACTTTTTTTGCAAAATAATAAGTTCAGGAATCTATTTTGATGTCCTCTTTAGACATACAAGTTTTATTAATAAATTCTAGTATTTGTAGATGCTTTTTTGATACAGTTGAATTGATCTAATACAGGAAAAAAGGGCTTCGAGTGTTGATTTCAGAGGACGCATGTCTGTATCTGTTCCCGCAGGAATCAATCGCTCCTCATACTGAAGAAGTCAGGCCAACAAAGAGTAATATCCTGGAATCCCTCGGTTCTCTCCCACTGTGCCCAAATCATCCACCTAAATCTCCTCTTGTTCATTTTTTTGTTCCTTCTGTCCCTCTTTCCCACGTGTATCAAAATCAGAGCATCTTGTCGTGCTCCCTGCTCTCTCTCTTTCTTTATCTTCCTTTCTATTAATCCCACTGACTTTACAATATCGTTCCCCATCTGTTTTCTTATCTTCTTTCTTTACTGTTACATCACGTTTTTATTTGTTTTCTTTTTAAACCTGGCCGCCCATAACCTCTTAAAACCCCCACAAAGCATCTGTCCCACCCTCTCAGCTCCATCTGTGGCTGTTTTCATACCTTCTGTCCTGCTATTCGCGTGTGCCTTGTCCCGTTCTGTCCCCTGTTTGTCTTACTTTGACCTTCCTCTCTCTATATCTGACCCCACCCGTACCTCCATCTTCTCCCGCGTGGCCATGCTGGAACGCATGTCCCGTCGCTCTCGCTCCCTGCTCTCCCTCACCTTGACCTCTTTGGCTCTGGCCCTCTCTATCCTGGCTCTCTGCACCTCCTACTGGTGTGAGGGCACTCACAAGGTGGTCAAGCCCCTCTGCCTGTCGCCTGTCAAAATGAAGAACTGTGGTCAAAACAACAGTGAGCCTTACACCACAGGTAGGAAACTCAACATATCCAAAGGAGTTCTGTATTTGTTTTTATTTACTGTTAATGTATTGTACATACACTTACAGTGTCATCGTCAAAAAGAGTTTACTCCCTTCCCGATTTCTTAGTTGTTTGGATATTTGTTAAACTTAAATATCTCAGATCAGACAAACTTTAATATATTATACAAAGATAACCAGAGTAAACACAATGCCGTTTTCAGATGCTAATTTCACTTGTTAAAAGCTATCAAAACCTGAATCAAGAGATCATTTAAATAGCTCCTGTCAATAAAGTGAAGAAGGCTAAAAGATCTCAAAAGCCAACACATTGACATCTATCAGTCTAGAAAGGGTTACAAAGCAATTTCTAAGGCTTTGGAGTGCCGGTGAACTACAGTGAGATCATTATCCACAAATGGAGAACACTTGGAACAGTGGTGAAACTTCCCAGGAGTGGCCAGCTTACTAAAATTACTCCAAGAGCACATCAGCGACTCATTGTAGAGGTCACAAAAGAACCTAGAACGACATCTAAAGAACTGCAGGCCTCACGTCTCTCAGTTAAGGTCAGTGTTAGTTCCAAGTTCCACGGAGAAAACCTCCTGCTGACCAAAAAAACACAAGGGCTCATCTCTCATTCGGCATAGAAAAACTTTAGATGAGCCCCGAGACCTTAGGGATAATATGATGTGAACTAATGAGACAATGCTGGGACTTTTTTGAAGGTTTGAATCCTGTTACATGTGGAGTAAAACTAACACAGCATTTCATAAATAGAACATCACACCAACAGTCAGACGTGGTGGTGGTAGTGTGATGGTCTGGGATTGCTTTGCTGCTTCAGGACCTGGACGGTTTGGTGTAACTGATGGGACAATAAATTCTGCTCTTTATTAGAAAGTCCTAAAGGAGAATGTCCGGCCATCAGTTTGAATTTTTGCTTATGCAGCAGGACAATAAAACATATCAGTAATGGCTCCAAAAACCCCAAAACAAAATAAAAGTTTTGAAGTGGCCTAGTCAAAGTTCAAAATTCAATCGTGGCAAATGATGATTGCAGTTTTCGTTGCCAAGGGTTACACAACTAGTTATTTGATTTAGGGCACAATTACTTTTTCCACATAAGGGCAGGTAGGTTTGGATAACTTTTTCCCTTTAATAAATTAAATCATCAATTAAAAACTGTATCTTTTTTTTTATTTGCTCAGGTTATCTTAGTCTAATGTTATTATTTGTTCGATGAAACATGTAAGTGTGACCAAAATGCAAAAAAAAGAAAAGAAAAAAGAAATCAGTACGGGACAAATATTTTTTTCATTGCATTGTATGTTTGGATTGCTTTTTGGTAACCTTTAACCTTTTATCGTGTACCTGTTTATTAAGACTTATGCTTTTATGATCTGTGAGTCATCATATTTTATAGTATAGTTTTGAAATAGCATCACTAAATCTTTAGGGCGTCAGCAGAAATTCAGTGTCAAAGTGCATCGTCCTTTGACCTTTAGACATTCCATGAAATGTGGAACTATGTGGAAATGCTTATGCTTCATAGTAGTGTTCAGGAGTATTTAAGAACATCAGGTTTTGACTTGGACTAAAAGAAAAAGCAAACAATCAAATCGGAGTCGACTTCTGTGCTGCACAGAAGTTGGGAAAATATACTGGTGACTAATCCAGAGTCTGCTGCATCACGTTCACAGACATGTCACAATTTGCTTGTAACAGCAAAAATTCTTGGATTCATTCTTGTGTAAACAGTTGTGATATTATCTTGGCATTTAGCCACTTGAAGAGCCTGGGATGATTTGAAAGTCTTAACTGTAAGTAGAAAGGTACAGCCAATCATAGCCACAGCCTTATGATACACCTTCAAAAGCAAACATGCTGTCTTTCATTGCGTTTTATTGCAGTAGGTCGTATAATCGCCAACGCAATACAATAAAATAGGATTTAATTAGGGATTTCTATCATTTATAGACAATAGATAAGATTTGATTTGATTAGACAGATTTGTCAAAATAATTGTAATTTTTTCTGGAGCTTCTCTCTGGTTCTCAGTGTTCAGGAACGCTTCATGTAAAGCAGATGGAGGCAGCTTTGCTTGAAGCAAACTCCATCTGCTTCATCTGAAGTAAACTCCATCTGGGGGAAGTTTGCTGAAAAGAAAGCTCTGCTGAAAGAAAAAAAAAAGCTCAACAGGTGGAGTCTTAGGTAACACTGTTATGTGAAACCACGTTTTTAAAGTTTAAGATTGAACCTTCATGCCTAGGTGCTTTTTGAGGCTATGCTTCTATCCTAAGTTAAACAGTATCTAGAGAATTCAAATC